TTATGAAAAGCTTTGGCTTAGTTGGAACGTTCCACTTCTAAATGTTTCACCTTAACTAAAAACAACACAGTGTATTATTACAGCTTTAACTTTGTAATGGTTAGAAAAAAACAAAAACTGAAAAAAAAAAGCTTAGGTTATGTTAAGTTTACTTCAGTTTAGGCATTTAAAAAAATTAAAATCTAAAAATGAAATATGAGTTCTAAAAATATCTAGTCTTTTATATTCAAACATAGAAATGAAACTCAGCTACGCATGTTTCAGTTAAATGTCGGTTAATACGCATTGCCGCCTAGTTGAGAGCATTATCCCAGTTTGTAAAAGGTTTTCTGAGGTTCAGCGGCCTGCATCAACCCACTGACGTTCCTGCAATCCCTCCTGAATAAGCATGTTGCCAGATCATTGCATGGTTTAGTTAACTTTGCAGCAATCCCTCATACAAGCATCTCTGGAGTGAAACCAGAGCAGAAAAATCCAGGGAAAAAAACACATTTAAAACATGTAAACCACGGTCCAGCAGCACTTTTAATGTTAAAGATACATGAATGACCTTATAGACATCCCAACTCCATCTATCTAGGAGAGAAAGATATGAGCTCTGACCTGCAGTAATTTATATATGCCATGAATAAAGGGGAACATAATGAGTTTGATTGTAACAACAGATCCTTTAACTACTGTGTAACATGGAAAGACAGCAATAGCTTCAGTTACTCCCCCATGAGACTCCACTGCTTGACCACAACACAAGGATAGCAGTAGCTTCTATAAAGAGGGAAAATTGATAGCATAAAGTTAATGTCAGTAAGAACTATATATATTGCAGAATTTAAAAATGATAGGTTTTGATAATGTAGCAGAGTGAGGCAACGTGGTCCTTAGGTCCTCCAGCAGTCTAAGCCTATAGCAGCAGAACTATAGAGATAGAATGAAGCAGAATGATGAAAAAGGGGTCCCTATGTCCTCCAGCAGTCTAAGCCTATAGCAGCAGAACTATAGAGATAGATCAGGATAACCTGAGCCACTCTAACTAGAAGCTTTATCAAAAAGGAAAGTTTTAAGCCTAGCCTTAAAAATAGACAGGGTGTCTGCCTCACGGACTAAAACTGGTAGTTGGTTCCACAGGAGAGGAGCCTGAGAACTAAAAGATCTGCCTCCCATTCTACTTTTAAAAGCTTTTTACACTAAATTTGCTGCTGGAGTTTGTCAGGGATTCCCTCTGGGAATCTATTTCCCAAATGACCCAATCTCAGATAGTTAATGGAAGGATGAACGGGTGATTGGTCTGCTTTAAAAAAAAGGGGTTTCTGTCTTAAGGTAAGTTCAGCGTTGGGATCATTTTCGTTGGGATCATTTTCGTTGGGATCAAATGTTGCTGATGTAACTGAAACCGGAAGACAAACTACTTCCTGTTCAGCTTCCTGTTGATGGCAACCGCAGCTGGTGATGGCCAAATGAGACTTCATGAAGCAATGAAGCCTTCCAACCCCATGCTTTGCCTAAAGGTCAATTATTTGATGACACTATGACAGTCCTCATATTTCAATCAGAAAACAGCAAATTGTGAAATATTGTCCAAAAAAGGTTGTTTGTTATAAACGTGTCATTACTTTCAAGTTATTAAAATGATTTATACCAAACATTTCTTTTAAATATTTTGACTTTCTGCGGAAGTTATCTGCGGCTAAACGGAGACGTCCAGGGCTACCGTGAGTTATAACTCCCCTGCAAGGTTGCCTGGTATTATTGCATTGGATAAATCCAATTCTCTTAGAGAGCTGCTGTTGGTCGAACAGACCAGGCTGAGAGGCGGCCTGCAGAAAACCCAACCAAGCCCAAGGCCTTCCACTTCACCAAGTCCAACAGAAACATCCATCATTCCCGCTTTCCGTCTGATGCTTAATAGGTGCTTTGCTTGGGTGAACTCGGAAGGACAGATAGTTGTGTTTGTGCTTTATTAGAAATAAGCTTTCTGATTCAGCTGCTGCTTTAATGCTGATGCTCACGGAACAGACTGAACGAGCCGCGTGGGTCTAAGAAACTGCTGCAGTGGACTGACTAGCATCGTTAGCTCCCAGCTACCTCATGCCGGACACCTTGTACAGGCCGCATTGTGAGCCAACCTTTTCTTTGTAACAGCTGGACCCCCCCGGGACCAGAACACCTGGGGCCAGCTAAGCTAACCCATTTCAGCCTCATCACAGTTTAATGCATTCCTGGGTCCATTTTGCACCAAATGATTTTAATTATCTATAAAACCGAAGGGAACTGCACTGTTTTGACTGCATTTATTATCTCTGCGTCAGGTTTATTGCTGATTTACAGGACACAATGCATTAAGCCTTAAAACTCAGGCATTCCTCACAGACTTTGAACGTACTCTTAAGCACCTCTTCCCCTTTCATTTTTTATTTGTGCTTATTTACAGTAGTCTTTAGTCTCTGTGAAGTTATTAGATATAATACTGTGTGATTATTAGTTAATAAAGATACCGTTGTATTTTCAACCGTGGTCTTTGTGTTTATTTTACACAGTTTATCACTCAGGCTGGATTCACTCTTCCTTCTGTAGCAGAATGAACAGAGACACATTTATTTGGTTGGTGATTGATAACGTTGCTGATAGCCATAATTAAATTGATAAATTGGTGAAACTGGATTTCAAACAGCCGGAATCGAGAGTCTAACCTTTTATGTAAGAGACGTAAGTCAATGAGCAAATTACAGTTATAATCCTTCAACTGATATTGAATAGATATTTTGTTTTAATATTTCTATTATTAAGGTAATATCTTCAAATGTATCATATTTGATGAAAATCTCTCTCTTTACTGTCAATGGTTGCTTTATTTCTCACCCACCTGGCAGAATGGGTGAACTTTCGGTTTCAGTACAGCCCGTCCAAGAGCACATCCATTATAAATGGGGGTGGGGTGGGGG